TTTAATGATGTACATCTCTCTGGACCTCAAGTCCATTCTAATATTCAATCCTGACCCAAGGATTTTTTGCGGAATAATTTCCATGATGGGGTGTCTGACGATGACGCTGCCGATACAGCTTCGCGGGGAGCTAAGCCCGATACACTAGCTCGATCGACATCTTGGTCTTGTGAGCCAAGATTCTTGTCGTCTCAATTCAGAGACAATTTTAAACAATCTAATAAGTTAAATTTTGCGACCATAATTGGGTCAAAAGTTTCTAGAGTGGCATTACACCCATCTCTAGATTTAGCATTCGGGGTACATATGTTTAAAATGTACTCATATCTTTCTCGTTTACGCCGAGTAAAGGCATTTGTGTTTTGTTTCATCAGAAACGTTCGAAAAAAGCAAGCTGAATTGTTTTTTGTTTGAGACTTAAAAAGTCTCTCGTTTCCTAGTATGTTGGAATCGTTTCCATCCGGTATTGCCAATCCGGATAATCAGTTGGATATTCCGAATTTATTTCCAGAGGAAATTATTCACCTTGCGAAAGTTAGCGGTATGTTAAGGAATGCTACCATTCGTTATGCTCAAAAGCATTCTTTTGTTATTTCTTCGAACAATGTAGTTGTTTTAAAGATGTTTGAAACATACGTATGGTTGGGACATAGAAGGCCCCAAGGTACATCCAATTGTAGATATCATATCGGACTTAGTTGTTGCACATTTTATAATGTTGAGTGTCCCTTATATCATTGTGTTACCAGTTCGAGATTTTTGTTTATTGCCATAGATTATGGGATATATTTTTTGCTTAAAGCTTACGTAGCTTTATTTGATCATGTATTTGCCCCACGTTATTTAACATAACGGCTTTAACGTTTGCATAGGAAATTTTCTTTCAACATTGTACGAATTCTTTAAAGTAAAAAGAATTCTTAGTAGTCGCACCATTTTTGCTTTTGTTGGTTTCAAAATTGCCTTCTTAGGTATAAAAATCTTGTAGTATTAAATAGTATAATGTTCGTATTTTATCTCTTCTCTTTAGTTCTTTATTTATTGTAATTTGATTTAATCTCATTTTCTACGTCTACTCCTAGCTTAGAATTAGTTGCCGCCTTTTTACAAAATAGAGTCTCAACGTGAGATAATTTGCTTACTGCTTTTCAAATTATCATAGTTATCTTTTATAGAAACAGCTTATGGAAGAATATAGTTTTTTCATTTTAAATTTTCGCTTTTTTTCATCATAATTATGTCTGTCCAGGTAGATTGCTAATATCTAGGGGCAATTCATACTTATTTTCTTTTGCCTTTGCTGCTTATTTGTATAGAATATTGTAGTGGCCATTTGGGCTACGATTATTCAGTTTATTTATCCTTAACTTGGATGTTGTTGCGGAGAACCATTTCCTTAGGTTTGTTAGCCAGGATATTCGTCTTCTCCCAATTCTTCGCTTTTCGAAAACTATTAGAAGGTTATTTGTAGCATTTATTTTGAGTGCCGTCTCTCATACTGTGTCCGAGACATTCTGATTGTTGCCTTCTAATCATATACATCACTTTTCTTTCTTCCCTCGTCTTTTTCGTACGGTCCCGTTGGTTAACTGGTCTGTCTATGATATACTGAGGATTTGCTTGTTATAGCCACGTCTCGATGGCGTCAAGTTCATGTATTGTATCCTAGGATAATAGAGGAAAGCACTTCCTATTAGAGGGGAAATATGTTTTATGTATAGTACTGATAGTTGTATAATTTTAGTGATGTATATTTAGTATATAGTTATGTATTTGTAATCTACTATCGTTCTTTGTGCTCTTTTGTAATTGTAAAGCTTTTTGTAGTCTTGTAAGTGTGGCGTTCGTTTCGTAACCGAAGAAGTGTTTACGGTTTCGGACTTTGTACAGTGCGTCGCGAGTACAATGTGCAGTTATGTTTTATTGGCACGTATGCCAACGCGGGGAGAATGTTGCAGTTTTGCAACTGTATATAAACATTTGTAAATATATTAATAGACTTTTTAATAGTTTCGACTCTCCTCGTATATTTAAACTGAGATTTACATATACAATTGCACAGCGGTATTTAAGGGCCAAAATGAGATAAGGGCGAAACATTCCAAGACGGCCATCTGCGAGATAATAAAGGACGATTTCCACATGCCACATGTGTTTTTAAAACCAAAATAAGGGTTTGCGTTTGTTACAAGACCGGAGTCGAAATGCATCTCTCAACCGATGCAGATGTGTATGTTGAAGAAGAAGAGTACCTGATTCCGCATCGGCCAAGAAAGACGCTAATGTGCATCACAAAACTTGGGTAGTTAAAGTGTCGCTGAAGACATAATTTTGCGATAGCGTTGGGGCTATCTTTTTCATGGGGTAAGGAATAATACACCATTTATATACAATTTGCTGCATATATCAAGTACGTGCACTTGGTATATTTATTTGATACTTTTTTGGAACATTATCTCATTTGTCAATTGGAGATTTTGCATTTGTTTCGCGGTTTATTTATTGTATTGTAAATTTTTTGTACTTTAACACCGATTTTATTGCTTTTGTGCATTAATAATTGTAATAATTATTTGTATGCTAACGCATTATTACTTTTTTTTATACCAATGACATATAAATCCATATTTTGATGTATTTTTTTTTGTAATATGATTAATTTGTTTTTGTATCTTTTATGTATAGTATGTTTGCGGTTATGGTAGGTTTTGTCTTTTGTTTTGGCAGTGGTTTTAATAGAATCGACGTCATTTTTGTTTTGGTTGATTTATGGTTGTCTTTCGGTGTGTCTGTTGGTGTGGTTCATGGTAACTAATAGTTAAGTTTGTATATTCTTCTTTAATTATAATGGTATATTTGGTTATGTATATTTATGTTTAATTTTACACCTTTTTAAAATAGAGTTTTATACAGTCCACTGGCTTTGATTTCTTTTCTTTAGTTGAATATATATATATACCCAATTCGAAAGGGGGAAACCAGCGAGTTCTGGATTGAACAGAATATCCTCTGTTCAGTATGTGCAGAACGCAACAGTAAATGTTCAACTTATAAACAATTATATATATATGCAGACCATACAGTGTGGTTGATATGATAGTGCGCAGGGGCTCCAAATAATGATGGATAACGTTGTAGAAACATGTAAGAAATACAACCTAAAACTAAATTGCAAGAAGACAAAAAAATAATGTTCATTAGTAAGAACACCAACATAAACGCCCAAATTACAATAGGTGATACACCGTCAGAAAGAGTGGAAAAATATTTGGGCTGCAATATTAACGATACTTGGGATCACAGCTACGAAATAAAAACTCGTATTGAAAAAGCAAGAAGCTCTTTCAATAGCCTTAAGAAGATGCTTATCTGCAACTTATCTTTAAGTATCAATATAAGCATAAATTTTTTTTAGATGTTACGTCTTTAGTGTCCTCTATGGAGTAGAAAGCTGGGGTCGTACAGAAGATACCATAAAACGCTTAGAGGCATTTGAAATGTGGTGTTACTCACATATGTTTAGGGTCTCAGATATACTCCACACAACTAACATAACTATTCTCTAGGGGCTAAGAAAATACAAAGAAATATAAAGGACAGAAAACTGGCTTACTTACGCCACATTATGCGCAGTAAGAAATATCGCCTTCTACAGTTAATTCTACAAGGCAAGATTGAGGGTAAGAGAGTCTCTGGATGTAGACATATATCCTGGCTCGCTAAACTTAGGAAGTGGACTGGTCTAACGTCAACTGATTTATTTCGAGCTGCTGTGAATATAATAAGATTGGTCGCCAACACTCCACACGATAGGCACATTTATAATTAATGATTTAAATATTGTTAATCAGAAATTTTACTACTTCCCAGTAATGAAGTTTTTCGTAAAATTCCTAAAATTATAGGTTACTGTAATTTTAAGGTAAGATCAATGACGTATAATATATATTTATTATATCTCATGGGGTAAGATAAACATATAGGTTCTTACTATAAAAATAAAATGGCGTTTAACAAATGTCAAAGCTTTTTCCAAAATAAAATAAACTAAATAAGATTAAATAAAATTAAATAAAATTAAATAAAGCTAAATAGAATTAAACAAAATTAAATCGGGTTAAACAGATTATTTTAACATTCATATAAATACAATAATATAATATAATAATTAAATTTACTATTAAATGATATTTATTGTATATTCTATTATTAATACATGGTCTCAATTTAATAGGTTTGTTATAAGTAAACAAAGTAGGTATATTTTGTTAATAAATTGGCGTTAGGAGCAGACAACAATTTATTTAATTTGTTAAAAATACAAAAAATAAATAAATAATAAAATTGCTTTGTTTAATTTTAAAAATATTATTTTAATTTGAAAAATATGTTTTAATTGTTATACTTAAACATCTTATTTAGTTTATTTAATAAATATATTTACTATCAAATGATATTTATTTATATTTCCCTAATTTCATGTAAATATAAATACAATGTTGGATTGTTAAAATTATTAGTTCGATTATTGTATTAAAGTCCGATAAAAATGGTTATTAGTAAAACATTTTCATATTATATACAATTTCAGCGAAAGATTCCATTTATTTACCTAACGAGCTAATGATCATTAGGCATACAAAATGTCCAAACTGACCATAATTTGTTATTTTTATTTTTGAAATATTTCATATAATTTTTTTGTGCAGGAACGTAAAAAGGTCATACTAACGAATGCGATAGAGCATGAAAAAAGGTTAAAAAAAGTACACATACAAAATCTGCTGCTCAATAGACATTTGATTGAAAATATTATGAAACTGTAGGTAAAGAGAATAGTAAAAACAGCAAATTTTGTTGATAAGGCTTCGCGCTAGTCTAGAGTACCGCCCACAGAACCCTTTTTTATAAACGTTAGAATGATTCTCATTTATGTTCCGAAAATAACAATAACATTATTATTCTGACATTAAAATGTTTCTATTCATTTTACTTTGCAGGTATGTTGTAAGGAATTCGCGTATAAAAGATCATTGGGGCTCGGAAGAGGTAACGTCAATAACGAAGTTCGAACTTTCTCGAAATAAAAAAATTCACATCGACATAGTTGTAGCTGATACTGAATTCCTGATCTCGATAAATGGTCGACACGTATGTGCCTTTGTGTACAGAATTCCTATAGCGACTGTTAAGGCGATAGTGATTGAAGGCCCAGTAGATGTTAGTGGGGTAGAATATGGAAAAACAAATGTCTATCCAGTAGTAAATGGTCCAATTGAAAACATCGAGGAAATTGTGAAAGAGGACGTGGAGTACAATGGTTCTAGTCATAATTATGTAAGTCTTGTTTTATTAATTACTATTTAACTGGGAATAAGCCACAATTAAAGATAAAAGTACGTTTATTGACGTTTCTATTTCCACTTCGGAAATCGTTCTCAAAATACAAACAGTAAATTAAACAAACTTTGTTTTTTGTTACATAGTGAAAAATTCTTCTAATAATTTAATTTTATCTGACTCATTTATATTTACAATTCAGACATACATTATGCATTTTAAAGTAGACGACTTTAAAATGATATTGCCAATATTGTTGAGTTGCGCTCCTGGGACGACTTTACTTATAAGATAGTTCATTCGATTACATGAAATCAACTTTAACTTGAGAATATCCGCCAGAAAAAAATCATAGCGTGTAATTCGTCTTTAAAAAGACAAACACATGACATGATGACAGTAAAATTCTCCTGTTAGTGATTCCATAGTAAATTATGAGGGAAAACCAGGAAAAAAACCTCATAATACTATCTCGATATGGTAAGTATTTGTTCGTGTATTTAGTTTACCTTCAATAAACACTAAAATTCTGATTTTATATGTTTTGTTATTTAAAAAACATAAATGATGTATCCTCTATATGTTACTGACTTACTAATACTGGTATTTTCTTATTAATAACTTCCTCTTTCAATATTGGTAACCAGATCCTACTACATTCTGCCGAGGAATTTGCGACACAATTGGCCTCATTTAGCATAATTAGAGCCGCTTCTTTGATTTTTCTTTTTTTACCATCCGTCTCTTTTAGGACTACATTTGAATAATTCCATTGAACCCTATGTTCATTATCCCATGTGTGTTTACATATTTGAGATCTATCAAATTCTCTATTTTTAATATAAGATTGATGTTCACTTATGCTAACATTTAATGGCCTTGATGTTTCACCTAAATAAAACTGATCGCATTCACAAATGCAATTCTTTGTCCTTTCTTGTTCATTTTTAGGTTTGGTTTTGGACAAAATAGATCTCGATGTGTTGGTTGTTTTGAATGTTGTTGAAATGTTGAATTTATTGCGTATCCTTTTAAGTTTTTCTGATAATCCTTTTATGTACGGTATTGTTATTTTCCTCGTACTATTCCTTGTGTATGTTATATTAAAATATATTATATATATATATATATATATATATATATATATATATATATATATATATATTTATCAAATTATTCTCGACCGTACTGTGTATATTTTATATTTTTATTTCATACAGACCAATTGCTGAGACTACAAATAATATATATATATATTATATATATATATATATATATATATATATATATATATAAATATATATATATATATATATATATATATATATATATATATATCTTAGATTATATCTTTTTTATATTAAAATTTATTTTATGTAATATCCTAACTGGTTTTTTATTGTTTATATAAATAAATCGTGTTCTCTGTTAAACGTACCCTACCATTTTTAAATGAACCATTAAAAAATACTACTTAACTTTTAGCTACAAGTATCCTTGACATGGCTTAAATCCTTCCTCCACTATAAATTGTTTAAAACGTGAAACTTCAGTTCCTAGTAAATTTTTCTATAATTGACCTTCGGCACCAGTTTACTGCTTTTTTGACATTGACAAGTATGATAGTCATTAACCATATAATACTTACGTTTCTTTAACATACGTAAATGATAACTATGTGTAAATTTTACGTACTCACTGATTTAGGTCTAGTATTTTCTTTTTATTTTATATCTAATTAAAACAAAATGGTTTAATTTCAAGAGAAGTTTATTTAGGAACGATATAAATAAAAAACATTGAAATATTAATAATCCACACATAAACAACATAACATAGAGACTTTTGACACAGAACAGGATCTTGTAATAATATGTAGACGATAAAAATGTGCATATAATAAACATTACAAATATAGAAACGATAACCTTCTATTGATGTACACATTCCATACACATTTTTATTTGATGCTCTTCACACAAGGCACTCCCACACTTGTAACATTTGGTAGTTGTCATTTGTTTCTTTGCTGTAGACCATAAACTACAGTAATTTCGTTTTCCTTTTCCTTGGAGACCTCGGCGGTCTTCAGCAACATGTGTTAAATTCAAAAGCATGGAAAGACTCACTTTGAGACTTCTTGATATTAAGTTAGTATTGTTTGGAGTCTTATTTGTTGCTACGGATTCGTTAATTGTTCATGAAGTTACAGCATCTAATTTAATCTTGATAGGGGCTCCTGTTTCTTTTTAGTTGCATTGTGATGGTAGATTACAAAAGCGTTTACAATATTTATCATATTGTAAAATATGCATAGCGGCCACCTTCTAGTCTTTCTATTACAGCAAATATTCTGAGACATTTGGTTAAACGTATCTACAGCCCCTTTAGTTGAATTATATGTATGGATTATTTCGGGTTTTGTTGTTTCATGAATAATGTTTTCATAAAAATGCATAGTTGAAAGTAGAACTGTATTATGCTTAGGTTTATAAGATAAAAATGTCATGTTTTCATCGTTTACAAACATACTTGAACCGCACTTCCAAGTTTTGTTATTGAGCAATTCAGGAGGTATTTCTCCTATATTTTTCCGGAGTGTTCCGACCATTGTCAAATTGTAAGAGGAAGATAATAATTTATTCGCAATAGGAATGCTGAAAAACCAGTTGTCCATTGTCAGATTACGTCTACTTTCATATAAACGTTTCGACAGGCTTGTGACAAAATGTTCTGCTTAAGGAATGCCATGGGTTACAGTAGATTTACCCAGATGCGGTGTTGCATTTATTACATATTTCGTAGCCACATCGCAAACCATAACTATTTTTATGCCGTATTTACTAGGTTTATTTGGCATATACATGCGAAATGGACACCTGCCACGAAATTCTAGTAGTTGTTCGTCGATTGTCATCTATGAACTAGCTTTATAATTTTTGACACAGTTTTCAATAAACAAGTTCCAAATTTTAGATATTGGAGCAAAACAACTTTTTTTTTATTTTACCTTCTCCTCTTGTCAAGAAGTTATCAAATAATAAAGAATTGATCAAAAAGTTAAACCTTTCTTTACTTATCATTGCTTCATATCTATGGCCACAATAAGTGCTATCAAACAAAACGTCAGCTGAGAGGTGATTATTTTTTAAAGTCCCAGATAAACATAACAAACCTAACAGTACTTTTAGTTCAGGCGGTGTCGTTTCTCAAACATTAGCTTTTTTTGTCTGGTACTTCTCTCGTAACTCAATTTTTTTGTATGTACATAGCAAAACTTATACTCTCTTATTAATAAACAGGGACTAACCTTGGACTAATATTAGTCCCAGGACTACACAAATAACATTCATTTTTCGTATTAATAAACAGCGACTAAGGACAGACTAAGCTAAACCTTGGCTAGTCTCGGACTAACATTTAATCTGAGGTAGTGGCAGGTTTAGAGAGTGATTAACTTGACAATTTGACATTGAGTTAAGTTTTGTTTTGGTATTCATAACCTGAATTGTTTTTGATTATTCATATACATTATTTAATAATGGAAGATTATTTTATCAACGACTTAAGATTAATAGAACAACTTAATGACCATAGAAATCAGTGAAATAATATTCATCTAAGACATATTAAAATATATAAAATTTATTTAATAAAATATTTTACAATTCAGTATGTTTATTAGTATTTTTTATATTTTCCCTTTGTAATAAAATATTTTTTAAACTTTCCTCCTGAACTTTTATGAAGTTTAAACTTTTCAGATAAAAACATACTATAAAATATAAACAAACTTTCTCAGAACACAGTACACAGTCCAACTAAAATTAACTCTATATGCCCCAACTTATGCTAACTGTCAAATTCTCAAATATTTTTCTTCTTTTTCACAAAATTCTCTCCATTTTTCTTCTTTTTCGCAATGGTTGCCAACATAAACTTGTTGTATCTAGGACTAAGGAAGGTTTAGTTAGTCTGAGCTTAGTCCATGTTTATTAATAACATTCTGAAAATTAAGTTAGTACTCGCTTAATCTGGGACTAACTAGTCCGAGACTAACTTCGGACTAAGCAATTTTTATTAATAAGACTGATAGGTTCTATAGCATATTTAGCTAACTTAGTTGGACCTGGACGGATATAAACAATATTTCTGGATGCGACTTTACGACTTCCATCATTTATGGGTAAATTACTCTACTTATAGCCGTTTTTACCTACTAAAGACTGTTTATCCCATATTATAATACACAATTTTTGTTCAATACGGTTATCAGTATACGTTGATTCTGATGACGGCTGATGCGTTATTTTAATTCTTTTACGAGAGAATGTATTTCTTGTTTCTTTGTGAGTTTCTGTTGGTATATCTGCCCAGGTGTTAACTAGTTTTGTGATGACATTTTCTTTGTCCTGTGTAGGATTATAGTCTATATCTTCTGTTATTAACGCCTAAAGTTTTTCCAAAATTAAAGTTATTATCACCACTCGATATCTTCTTACTCAGACTTGGTTATCCAACAATCTTAATATGTTTCTTCTTACTTATCTCCACTCACCATATAAATATATAAATTTAAATCCTTGTAATTTCCATATAATGTACTTTCAAATATACTGGATGTTGTGGGTGTACTATTGAATGCTTACTTCAATGGAATAACTTCATACTATCACTATATTACTGTAGTAATAATTATTCTCCAACTGTATTTGACTTAATTAATTCATTTAACTTAATCAATGCCTTCTTCTAGCTAATAATCTCTTCATAACCTCATAAATTCTTCTTGATTCTCTTCACGACTCAACTCTAACTTAATAATAATCTGTACTTGACTTCCTCTAACTAACTCCACTAATTGATTCTCTTAACTGATCTAATTTCCTCTAACTAACTCCACTAACTGATACTAACTGATTAATAATCTTCTTGTAACTAAATTTTTGAATTCTAACCTTACTGACTCACTTTACTAACTGATTAATCAACTGTAA